TTTGAAAGAATTAAAACAGATTCATGTCTATCCTTGTATTATTCAGCTGGTTGAGATTGATATGGGATTTTGAAAGTAATTAGTAATTAAAAGTAATTAAATACCTTTTAAAGAGAGTAATTATTACAGTAACTATTGAAGAGGTTATTAGTAACTAGTAATTAAGTACTTTTTTAGAGTAACTTACCCATCACTGCTCTCATGTTTTTAGTGTGCAAAGTAACATATGTTACCAACTGTGTGTAAGTGAATAATGTATCCGCATGAATAAATGTATCCACTTTGGACAGCATTTAAAAAAAGATTTCTTTTCATTAATAAAAACATTGTCTCAGTTTCAAAACAGAGAAAAACGCATTAGTGTGGACATGGGTCAGCGTTTAGTAATACCTGAACTCCTTAAGCCACTGTAAGCGTTACCTCAGCATCCTGCCTGGCTTCAGGGGGCTGTCAGAACTGATTAAAAGCAGACCTAACTGAACCAACAGCCCTCTTACCCTTCGTTTTCCTTCTTCCTCGTCTGTGCCAAGCCGAGCAGCCCCCTTTGCCATTCACAAGGATGTACGGCAGTAGCTCCATCTCTGAGGCGTGCCAAAAAAATCATGAAACATTTTCAACTGATAACTCATGGGGTGTCGTTGTAGTTGGAAGTGTCACAGCTGGCTGGCAGATGTGCACACCCAGCAGAATTAGTTTTAGTATGAACATGTCTTATAATTAGGAATGGAACAAACATGATCACAAAGGCCTGCTGATGTTTAAAAGAACAGACATGAAGTTACTGAGATTTAATCTGAATCACAAACCCTGCATAGTTCAACCCTCAGCAAAAGCTACAGTATGAAAAGTAAACAAAACATACATCACTTATAATTGTTATGACTATTCTACAGTGATAAAGGAGACATGTTGCGGCACAGGCTGTGAGACGTGGTATGTGATCGCTTCTAGCCCAGAGGTCATTTTGTTCAATAACACTAATTTAAGAAAGACACAGCAAAAACACAGACGATTACATAAAAGTGACTCCTGATGGATTGCATATCACCCAGCATGTTGATTTATTCAAGTAAATATTATAAACTTCTTGTTTAGAAGTCAGAGCACATGTAAGTCTTACCCATACCCACTATCAGGATTATCTCATCCAGTTTGGCAGCAACAGTGTTTTGTTAACTTTTGACTTGACAGTAGGTGTGAAGGATCAGGATCAGGATCAGGCTGATCCTGATCTTCTTGTCTGGAAAGCCTCTTTTACACCCAAACAGACCGGATTTAAACTGTCCAAGAGGTAAGGTAATACAATACAGAACGAGCATTAAAATATTGTATTTGAAATAATATTATATTTGTTATATATTATATATATATTATAATATTTGAAATATTTTTGGAGTCCAAAAATAAGACTGATATAAAAAACAATGATGAAACATTATACTTTATTGGCGATAATTCTAGTTCAATTTAATTAAATAAGCATTTCAGCTGAATCCTTATGGTGTATGCTACAAGCTTGGGATCAGAATGGGGAAGATATTTTAATTTTTTTTGAAAAAAAGTCTCTTGGTTTTGCTCACCGAGGATACATTATTTAATAAAAAATATAGTAAAACTGTAATATTGTGAAATATTGTTCAAATATCTTTTATCTCTTAATGTAATTTATTCCTGTGATGGCAAAGCTGAATTTTCAGCATCATTACTCCAGTCTTCAGTCACATGATCCTTCAGAAATCATTCAAATATGGTGCTCAACAAAGTTCTAAAGAACTTCTTATTTGTTTCATTATAAATGCCTTTACAGTCACTTTTGATCAATTTAATGCATCCTTGCTGATTAAAGTATTATTCAGAAAAATGTATCAACAACAAAAAAATTCACTGACCCCACTACTTATGATTGGTAATGTATATGTAACTAGAAAACTCATTGTTTATCTTACATCAAAAAGAGGGTGAATTATATCACTGAAGTGAATACCGGTATTTCATAAGCTTCAACATTTCCTCTTGCACTTATTATCACTTTACCTATCATGCGACACCCATGGGACAGATGGATACACAAACAACAACTGCTTATGTAGTTAATTACATAATTACAGATGGCCTTTCCCATCAACCATTTAAAGATAAAGACCCACAATCCCACGCGAAATAGATACTCAGTCCACAAACCACCCGCTTGCATTCAGACACTAATGACAAGCTAACTAAAAGTCTGACTACATAACTATGGCAGATGTGACCCTGGCTGAACGCTGGCCTAAATTTTAGGCAAATGACTGATATGTTTACAGACCTCAATCTGGTGTAATCCGTCATCATCCCTGTCCCTGACAGACGACTACTAACAGACAGACATTAGAGAACAGACCCAAACACTCACAACTGACAGCAACGATTAAGTGAAAACAATTGTGTGACTTATTAACAAGTTCAAACATTTCAGACGGAACAAAACTAGCAACTATATGCACACAAATGCTAAAATGTTGTGATTAGTTACACATCATTTCGCATTTGGCAGACACTGTTATCAAAATTGACTTATACTGCAACCGATCCCTGGGAACCGAACCCATGAATTTAGCGTTGTTAGCTCCATGCTCTAACTTGCAGGAACGCTGACTAAAATTACAAAAACTTGGGAAGTTATATATTTTTACAGGTCCTTATTGGCAAATTTGACCAAGGGTCTTTATAAAGTTCGATAATTAGCGCTAAATGATACACAGCAAACCAATTCAATAGCCACTAGAAAGTTAATTTAATTGGGAAAACCTTTATGTTTTAGCCAAAGACTATAAAAAAGAAGTGATGCCGCCAATGCCCCAAGATTTAACTAACATCTTGCACTATTTATATTGTTCGGAGCCCGAGTCTGTAGTAGTGAGCGTGCCCGTACTCCTGCAGAATCAATCACAAGCACACGTCTAAATCTACTTTACTCGGAGAAGCTGTCAATCACAGATGTCAATCTTGATGTCACACCCATTTTAAAGCATCAAAGAACCAACTAAAACCAAACTTATTTAAAAAGTGAACACTTGAACTTACACCAGAGCGATAAAAACTGCCTAAAAAAACATTGGAAGTGTAATTTGATTGTTTAGTTTGGCTCACATCTCATTTGTTTACATGGAGAGGGTGGGTTTTATGACCTATACTGCATCCAGCCACATGGGGGCGATCAAAATGCTTTGGCTTCACTTTTCAGGATGTGAGCAGCACTGTTGTTATGCATTAACATGTGTTGCTAGCATGAATTAGTATATTGCTAACATGTTTTAGCAAATTGCAAACAAGTTTTAACACATGCTGGCATGAATTAGCATGTTACCAGAATGTTTTATATTGGCTTTGTCAAGCCAGCATAACTAAATGAACAGCTAGACTCAAAAAAGACAGGAATTCAGTCTTAATCAGCACAATGACACAGTGAAAACAATTATCATTGCCTAAATCAAAAATGCACAAGACATGCATCCAAACAGGCAAACTACTGAATTGTCTGTGGGACTTGTCAAACACACCAATAAGGGTAGGACATGCAGTAACATGGAGACTTAGCATATGTAGAGTGCCATTCATTCTCTCACACACAAATATGCACACACATAGACACTTAGGCCACGTGCAATGTTCACAGTGAATCATGTGATGAGTTTTGCCTAAAACAGTACTCATCTATTTCTTTCATATTTTCTCGAGTCACTGCAGTCAGAAGACAGTGATGATGATAAGTGTATGATCCAAATCTGTTACAAAGTATTTATTTAAACCTCTCCAGCCTAATATTGTCATTAAAGTAATATTGTCAAAAATGTCAGTTTTTTAGTATGAATATTCTAGCCTTAAAGGAGTTCACTTTTAAAAAAAAAAATGTTGCTGATAATTTACTCATCCCCATGTCATCCAAGATGTCCATGTCTTTCTTTCTTTAGTCGAAAAAGAAATTAAGGTTTTTGATGAAAACATTCCAGGATTTTCTCCATATAATGGACTTCAAAGGGAACCAAACGGTTCAAGGTCCAATGAGAGTTTCAGTGCAGCTTCAAAGGGCTTTAAACGACACCAGACGATGAATAAGAGTCCTTATCTAGCAAAACGATCATACGACATTTCGAAAATAAATGAAAAAGTTTAAGTTTTATAAGCGCAAATGCTCGCCTTGCCCTGTTCTGTGATGCGCGTTCATGACTCTCCTGTTCGAACTCGTTCATCAAAATGAACAAATCTTTTTTCGAGTCATGACTCGAAGGGTCCTAGATAAAACCCTTATTCATCGTCTGGTGTTGTTTAAAGCCCTTTGAAGCTGCACTGAAACTCTCATTTGGACCTTGAACCGTTTGGTTCCCAATGAAGTCCATTATATGGAGAAAATCCTGGAACGTTTTCATCAAAAACCTTCATTTCTTTTCAACTGAAGAAAGAAAAACATGGACATCTTGGATGACATGGGGGTGAGTAAATTATCAGCAAAAGTTTTTTTTAGAAGTGAACTACTCCTTTAATGACAAAATTTGCATATAGAAGATACAAGAGGTCAAAAACTTAGTTTCTCACTCCCACCAATATAAGCGCTGAATCTGAAATCGCTCCCTAGTTCCTCAAATAGGGCTTTATTTGAGGGGACAGCCATTTGTAGTGGTGTCTAAAACCATAGTGGACGTTACCGAGTGCGCTCTTTCTATTCCAAATTGCACCACAATAACGAGTGTACAGCAGATGTGCACTCATCGGCTGTCCGAATTAATATAATCCGCTCACACGTTATCACTCACTCCTTCAAGTGAACTGTCTTAGTAGACTAACGTAGGGAATAGTGATTGGGGCGATTTCAGATTCAGCCAAGGTCTTACTAGGCATGCTAGAAACTTCTAGGCAGGTGTGCTGAGGCAAGTTAGAGCTAAACTCTGCAGGACAGTGGCCCTCCAGGACCGAGCCCTGGGCAAGAGAGACACATCAAAAAGTTGAAGAGTCAGGTGCCTTACCTCTCTCGAACAGATCACGAGGGGCTTTTTCCTCAGCTCAAAACACTTCCGGAGCTTACAGATCTGATGCCCCGTTTTTCTGTTCAGGCAATTCCTGCATTCCCCACAGTTCATCTTGCGCAGACAAGGCATGCAAACGCAGCAGCGACTTCTCTTCTTCCTCTCCCTCCTCTCTTGAACTCGAAGTAAACGCCGCTGAATATCCTCAACCTGGAGAGGAGGGTTTCCTACCGCACTGTGCTCAAAAACCGACTCTGACTCGCTGTCAAACGAGGACTGGGTGCTTTCTGTGCTACTGGAGAGCAATGCCGTCACCTGAGGCCTATGGCCCATTTCACAAAGAGTGCTGTTGTAAATGGTTGTGCTCAGCGAGAGGAGAGAAAGCGCTCCCTCTTTCTTCATCGACATTTCTGCATCGTCAATTTCATCTTTGGTGTCTACATCTGCAGTGCTTTGCAGCTCACTTTTTTCCTTCTGGGGAGCATTTGCAATGTTTTCAAGTGCTTGTGATTCATTGGAGGATTGACTCACTTGGGAGGCCACAGTCTCACCTGCTTCTGTAGAGTTTTCTGGAGTGGTTTCAAAAGAACTGTCGGGAAAGTCCATGTGTGGAACCTCCTCAACCTGACCTAAAACATGCTTATCTGACTGTGAAGGGGAGGGAGTCGTTGGGCCTGAGGTATTATTGTTGTAGGCAAAGTCCACGTTATTGACAGGGTCGTGCCTCGGAGGGTCATGCTGCTCAACAAATGCTGTGTTTGGCTGCTCATTAGAAGCAAGGCAGCTTTCATTTTGTACAGTTTCTGTGTTTGCTTTTATCTTCTCCTCCTCTGCCTTGTCAGTGTCGTGAACAACAGTCTCTATGTGCTCCTCCGCAGTTTCCGCCGAGCTTACATTAATGATCTGTCCCTCTCCAGTGGGAATAACAGCACCCTTTTGTTGTCCATCACCAGTAGGATCATGAACTTCTGACCCTTTAGTATCGGTATCCTGTTCCCTGATCTCCTGATCTCCCTTTCTTCTTGTAACCACCCTCCTGAAGGACTCAACTTCCTGTAGGACGCTCGAGACACTATTCCTTGGAGTCTTTCCTTTTCCATTAGGTTTTGACAACAAGCCATTTTGTCTCAAAGAACCACGAGTGTGCCTGGGTCCTTTACCACTATAAACATTCTTGACTGTCCTCTTGCTGGCCTTGCTGTCAACAGTCCTCTGGGCCCCTTTTAGTGCTTGTTTTTTGTCTATGGCCTTCTTGATGTTACCACTGGCTTTGAGCGAGTTGACCGTTTGCCTCCTGGTCGTGGAAGCTTTCACCTTTCTAACATTTCGCTTTTTGGATGCACAAGATGACTTCTTGGGTGCTTTGGGAATATGAGGCATAGCTGAAGTACGTGAGGGTGAGGGAGGAGGAGTTCAGGATAGCCGGCATGGAAAAGAGTATGAAGATGACTCTGGACAACAGTACTTTTTAGATATTTTAGGTTATGTTCCTAGTTTCAAATAAGATCACACAGACATTTTTCCACTGTTGGCATATGGATGTATGGCTACCTGTGGAAAGGACAATTCATAATTGAATTATGTAGCATTTAGCTTCTGATTACATAAAATCATGAGATCAAATGTGGCTTTTAGTGCATATTATTTATGGGCTTTGAAGCCAAATGTAGTCTTTCTCTTCTGGAAAACTGAAAAAAATAATAATAATATTGATGGGTGTGTTGGAATCAGCTACCTAGTTCAGTAATTAGGGCACTGATGATCAGAGAACATTTATCTTTAACAAAGTTGTTCCCTTAACAGACATTGCATCACATTTTTGAAGTGAGAAATATAAATTGCACGAACCAACTCAGTTATTCGACATAAACGTTTGACAGCAGTAAACATACATAATCTAGCAAACATTTATAATATTTTAAGGCTGAAATGTGGTGACATTTTACACCGAGAGTATGTTAGCATGTCGCTGGAAACGGAGTCATTAGTCTCAATATCAAGTGACACATTCTGCACTATGCAGATTTTTGTCCAATCAAATGCTCTCTAGAATGAGAATGCTCTTCCCCCTTAAAGCACCTGCACAGACTAGCAAGTAAGAAATCACTAATTATGGCTGTGTGATGTAAAATACAGAAAGACCTATGCCTAATTGAAAAAGGATGATTTCATCAATATGTTTCACGTAAATACACAATGTGCTGGTCAAGTCATTAAAATAGGTTCATTAACTTCAAGATAATCAAGTGTATCATTGAAAGATACAGTAAATCTAACAGATATCATTATGTCTGAAGTATGATATATTTTGATGACTGTGTGTGCAGTTGCAAAGTATATGCTATTTTACTCTGCTATATTATATACTGTAGCTCACAAAGACCATATCTATTGAATTGCTAATAAGATTAATTCTGATGCTTAGCGAAAAGTCCCATAATATTACATGGTTATTAAACAGTACCATAGTGTCACAACAGCTTTTTGACATGGAATGTTTCTTTTGACATATTCCATTATAGTAACTTAAATAGTTTCGATTAGTACCATAATATGGTAATCATTAAGTACCACGGTACTTTTTGTAAGAGATAATCTAATTTAAATGTCCATTGTTTTCAACTCTTTGTTTTCATGCGTCAACTCGAAATCTCCCTCAAGAGAATCAAGTTTCAATACCTGCCATGAGTTAAATGGGAGCATAAATTAGGCAAGTGTGAGGTGTTTATATCCACAAAGTAGATCTAAAGAAAGACACAAGTTTACACACTGGCTGTGTGTTTAAAACCTAGTGAACTCCCTACCTACACTTCATTTTTGTGCGTCAGTCACAGACGAGTCACGCGCCTACGATTCCCCAAAATGCTGTCTAAGTAGGGAACTAACTAGGTTTTGAGATAGCCGTTGTGGCTGACTAATCGCTTTTAACGTTCTCACACGCTTATCTCTAACAACAGTTTGTTTCGTTATCTATAAACTGCCCAACAAACTTTAAATCTGATAGGAATCAAATAATAAAACAAGGGGGCTTTAATCCGTAGGCTGCTGCATTGTTATTAACACTTTGAAGGGAGTTGAAATACTTTACATACCGGAGAGACAGATGCACTGTCTGAAGGGCTAACGTTAATAATATTCCCCGCCTGTACGACACGACCGATCCTTCCGCATTTCTCTTCGATGGATCTTCCCTAGGCACAAGTGAATAACGTCTTCACAATATAACTGTGAACTGTGACACTGACATGCTGCCACAGAGACTAAAGCACCCGATAAAAGGCAAATCCCTCTTATGCCAATCCATTCACGGCACGGCAGCCCTCTGCCAGACTCGACCTGCACTCCAGTCAACTTCAGGATATTTAATGGACGTCGGCGTGAGGTGGCGGGAAAACCCGGACTGGATTTCTGTTCTCAATATAGAAAATCTGTGCAGCAGTCAAATCTATACATAGACATACGGTATATATGTATTTATAATTTTTTTAAAAAACTCTCTGCTCTCTGCGCTTTAAGCTAACTGCTAAATGCGTGTACCACGTTTCGAGATGACGTCAGTTTCACTACATCGTCACTTCTTGACGCAACAACAATCAAACGATCTGTGTCTCATGAGCTACATTTATATGTAACTTTACCTTTGGTACTTACAGTGAGGCCCTAAATTATCATAATTGTATTAGTATTGTTCTTGTTCTTGTTGTTGTTGTTGTTGTTTAATTATATTATTACACAATTTCCACATACAGAAAAAAGCCAAGAAATTATCATCGTCATGATTATTAATATATTTTTAAATAATATTCTCATAAAGGCACAACATTGTCTAGTGCATTTATATACAGACAACTCCTATAATATTTATGTAAATCCATAATAATAATGATAGTAGTCGTAGTTAGTTGTTTTTTTAATAAGTAGTTTATTTTATAAGTAAGTTTATTATATTATTCCATTACACAATGTTCATTTTCAGACAATAATTTAATTACACAGAAAAGTTAATTCCTTTTTATTTAACAATGAAAGACTCACAATACGCAGTATTTCCAAAAAAAACCAAAAAAAAACTAAAAAAACAAATAGATACAATGTTGTAGCATAATAAATCTGCTAAATGAATGTAATGAAGAATCATTTGCAATGTAAACACAAAATAAATAGAATAGTGCGTTGGTGCTGTGCGTTGACACCATAGGTTGACAAGCAGTTACGTGTTAATTCTGCGACAGGAAATGAATCAGTGAAGGACATGAAATGGACGAAACTGCAGAGAAAAACGTGGAAAAGAAAATGTATAATCGTGACTTGATTTATGTTTTATGTAAGTACATAGTCTATATTCGTAGAATAGACGCATGGATCTAACGTTGAGCGAATAGTTTTGTTGTCGCAAGAGTGTTCACCCTGTGTTTGTAACTAACAGGAAGAGCTGTCAGCTTCAGTTTCACACAGCTCCATATACAGTTGTGCAACCGATGACCTTGATTTTAGGCCGGATTTCGTTTTTCTGTGTACAAGTATTCAGGTCATAGCTGCTGAAGACGTTTTTATTTGTGAATCGGTGCAAAACATCGTTGTAAATTACGTGGGAAGTGAAATCTGTGTAATATTATAGCTGGCTCGTGGAATAAGCAACAGTAACCAAGGTAACAATATGCTAAAACATCGTTATTGTGTATTTTAATATATTTCGAGTTGCTTCCCGTTACGCAATATTATAATATTTAGCCAAAGTTATGAAAACAAGCTAGCCAGAGAACGAGGCACTAAAAGAAAGTAGCTAAAAGGACCATGCAATCACCATCGGAATTTGTACAGTCATTTACCACAGTCATTTTTCATTTTTATTATATATATTTTTTTGTTGACATACATGTATTATTCACATTCAGTACCATGTCCAGGTTTAACAGATAGCCAGCATTAGGCTTTAGTTCAATTGGGATATTTAAGGAGCTTAATAAACGTACCTTAGATCAAAACATTACTGGTGTGAATCTTGAGACAAAACAATAGCAGTGACATATATTTTAGATGGGTTAGTGCAAATTGCTTTCAGTTTAGAGCCAGAATAAATGGTTTGTTTTGATTGTCTTTATATATAAGTATTTATATAATAGCCAATAACAATAAATTTTCATTTTAAAATGCTCGAACGGTTCTTATTAAGCCAGAATAAAATTCATTGTATGGTTTGCTTCTCAGCCCAACCTGTAACTCGTTCACTTATCCTGATGGCACCTGTACTTGATTTGGTTTGCTTTTCTAGTTTAGATTTAGAGAACTGAATCTGTTAACATTTCACCGAACCAGGTACTCATAAAGTAATACATTTACAACCCTGTCCAACTGTTTATGACTGATAAGACTTTCCTGTGCGCTTAGTCCAGCCTGTGGCACAGATCAGCTGAGACATAATATCAATGCACATGTTTGTTTACCTCATTCCAGAGTGTGCTGAAGACATGAACATACTGCAGACCTGATAGCAGCCATCATGACGACAGAGGCTGTGATCACAGCTCCTGTGCAGAAAGACTACCACTACTGGTTGCGCTCTTTCACAGCTGGAGGTGACGTTTCAATCACAAAATATTGATGTACTGTACTAAAGAATGCACAATCAGCTGCTCTTGCATATCTTGAGCTATGGGAGTATGCATGCATAATAGTATTGGTTCAGTTCAGTTCAGTTACTTGTATAGGCCATAAATGTGTGTTTTTCCACCCTTATTTTATTTTTAATAAATTGTGAAATTACTTTTGCATTAATTTCTCAAGTCTTTTAAACCCCTTTAACATAACAAATTTTCTTGAAGCATCCCCTTAGATTTTATGTTAATAAAATGTTTATGATTGTTTGGTCCTAGGCACTTTATATTAAGTGTATTTAACTATGTATGAACGTTTAAATTGATTACTGACTTATATTTTGAAAATACCTGCTTGTAATTTCAGCTATAATTCATTTCTGCAATTTCATCTATAATTGCACTGTTGACCCTTCACCAGACCAACAAACTTGTCCCTAACCTTACGCAATAGCAGCAAAGAATGTTATTGTGTTTTGCAATACAACATGATAGTACCTATCATGTACCTATCAAGCAAAGTGTTTTGCAATACAACATGAACACAATAAGTACATTGTGCCTAACTATATTTTCAATGTGAGTACATGCATACATAAAGATCCCTAATTTAAAGGGGCAGCTACAACACTGTTATCAAACAAAAACTGAAAACTTTTTATGCGTTTTTTTGTTCATTTACACAACAACGGCGTTTTGGGGACCTGAAAATGCAAACTTTTGAAAATGGGGTTCAAAGTGCAAGTCTTTAAAAAAAGGTACTTGTGTTTCATTTACAAAAACGCAACTGGGAAGTTAATGGCGCATGGGTTCCCTCGATCGAAAAGCTATGCATTTTCCCCATGGACTTTTGGAAAATCGCAAAAAAATAAGATCTGCGTTCAACAAAGAGTTTTGACATTTACACGTTTAGTCTATCAAGATCTTTTCAAGTTATTTCAAAATTTATACATTTTGAAGCCTATATAAAGTTTTAAAAAACACAAGCAGGTTATAATTGGTGTGTTTTATGTCATAGATCACAACGTGAAAATAATTAGAGGCTTTGTTAACCACAGACCTTATTTGAAGCGATTTCGCAAAAACGATTTAAAAAAAAAACTCATAAACTTTAGAGCGAGGGAACCGGGAGTGCTAAAATGCTAACTCACTTCCGCGTTTTGGCCTACAAAGTGACGTGATAACTTCGGCACTCTATTATGCGTTCAGCCTATAGGCGTGTAGTGTTTCTTTACAAAGTGACATCGCCAACTACTGGCCTGTTAGCATAATACAGCATTTGTAATAATTTTCACATATCCAAGTGAATGGGAATCATTTTGATAAGATTGTCGTCTGTATGCAAAAAACACAAAAACCTTTCAGTTTTTACCATTGTAGTGTAAACGTACCCTCAATTGTGAACGATTGTTTATTTATGGATTAAACTAACTGATATTTTTGTGTTCACAAAGGTGTTGCAGGGTGCTGTGCCAAGTCCACCATAGCGCCTCTCGACAGAGTGAAAATATTACTGCAAGCTCAAAATCCGCATTACAAACACCTTGGTAAATTAATCCCAAAATATTATTGATGAATAGATATTATTGAAACTTGGAATACAAATGCATTAGAATACCATTGGTTGAACAATGTAATGTTATCTTGTGTGTTTTTTGCAGGAGTGTTTGCCACACTTAAGGCTGTGCCAAAAAAAGAGGGTTTTCTTGGGCTTTACAAAGGAAATGGAGCTATGATGATCAGGATTTTCCCATATGGAGCCATCCAGTTTATGGCCTTTGATCACTACAAAAAGGTTTCTTTTGTCTCATAGTCATCATTTAGTAATGCCAACCAGTTTTGGGGAATAACAAACTAAACATAGCGACATTTACTAACGCAACAGTATTTTTAGTAGCGTGACCGTTTTTCAGTTGTTCAAAATATTGTAGTTTTTCCAGTACTCATTTTGCGAGTTGTCACATTGTATAACACAAAACTAGTGTAAAAATAGTAAATAATCAAACACAATCTCCTAAACTGTCCTCTCAAGTGAAGCACTAGTCTGCTTTATTTAGTAGATTCAGTTGATTCAGATGATTCATTTAAACGAACCATTTAAAAGGATTCACTGATTTGATTTAGAAGTTAAGGTAGTTTGTGTGGGATGTTTTGTTTTGGTATCAAATTTTTTTTATTGGTTGTAATGCCATTGCAAATGTATCTGTACATTTCTTTTATTTGTTTTCACTGTAAACACATCTATACAAATGGTTAGCATGAATCAGTTACATCATCTGATGGTTATATAGTTTAAATTAAAACCTTGAAAAGCTTCAGTGTAGTTAACTACATTTTGTCAGTAGTTATCTTTTTTATTATTCATATTGTAAGTAGCTTGTAGCTTGGAAAACTGCAGTTTCAAATGAGCTTACATTGATGCTAACAGAACAAAGATTTGTACTAAAGCCGAATGCACGCTCTGTTTAATGCTTGTAAAAAGCTGTTTCGGATGTACTTTCAGTTCCTTAACACACAACTTGGAATATCTGGGCACATTCATCGGCTTATGGCGGGATCTTTGGCAGGTTTGTGATTCTTTTTCTTTTCTTGTTACTCCATGATGAGTGCTCTTGTCTTTATCTCCATTGTATTCCTTCTGCAGGGATGACCGCAGTTATTTGCACTTATCCGCTCGATGTCATCCGAGCACGCTTAGCATTTCAAGTCACAGGAGAGCATCGCTACACTGGCATACGAAACGCCTTTCAGACTATTTACCTTAAGGTGTGAAGGGTGGAAAGGGGTTTAAATGAGAACCCATCTGTGCTTCCCTTTTGTGTGACAGTGTTTTATCTTTAAAGGAGGGAGGAATCTCTGGTTTCTACTGGGGTCTGACCCCCACAATCATTGGCATGGCTCCATATGCAGGTTATTGTCTTGATTCATTTACGTGGAATGTACAGTACAATAGGCAAAACTGAGCCCACTTCCTCATGTCACGGTTTTCTCTATATTCCAGGATTTTCCTTTTTTACTTTCGGTACATTGAAGACTCTGGGACTGACTCACTTTCCAGAGCTCTTAGGCAAGCCGACTCTTGACAACCCTGATGTTCTAGTGCTGAAGACTCACGTCAATCTGTTGTGTGGTGGAGTCGCCGGAGCAATTGCTCAAACTATATCGTATGTTTATTCTTTTAAATCCCTGGATTTTTAGTTATTATTTGAAGTTGTTTTAAAGGAGTAGTTCACTTTTGAAAAAAAACTTGCTGATAATTTACTCACCCCCATGTCATCCAAGATGTCCATGTCTTTCTTTCTTCAGTCGAAAAAGAAATTAAGGTTTTTGATGAAAGCATTCCAGGATTTTCTCCATATAATTGACTTCAATGGGAACCAAACGGTTCAAGGTCCAAATGAGAGTTTCAGTGCAAACTGTTCAAAGGGCTTTAAACGATTCAAGGTGATTAATAAGGGTCTTATCAAGCAAAACGATCGCTCATTTAATAAATAAATAAAAAAGTTTAAGTTTTATAAGCACAAATGGTCACCTTTTCCTGTTCTGTGATGAGCGTTCGTGACTCTCCTGTTCAAACGCGTTCATCAAAATGAACAAATCTTTTTTTGAGTCATGACTCGAAGGGTCCTAGATAAGACCCTTATTCATTGTCTTGAATCGTTTAAATCCCTTTGAACAGTTTGCATTTTGCACTGAAAGTGTCTTTTGGACCTTGAACCGTTTGGTTCCCAGTAAAGTGCATTATATGGAGAAAAAGCCTGGAATGTTTTCATCAAAAACCGTAATTTTTTTTTTTCGACTGAAGAAAGAAAGACGTGGATGACATGGGGGTGAGTAAATTATCAACAAAAGTTTTTTTTAAATGTGAACTCCTTTAAGTTAAAGACCAACAAAATTGTGCAACATATACACATTTGTTTTACTGTACATTTTGTGTTGAACATTCTGGCTTAATATTTATGTGCAGATATCCACTAGATGTTGCCCGGAGGAGAATGCAGTTGGGTACATCACTGCCTGATTTTGATAAATGTCGGTAAGTATTTAAGGTTTTTGTTGCCTTAATGACTTACAGTGAGGTATTAATTTATTAATAGAGATGCATCAATAGTCAAATTTGTCTCATATTTATTTTTTTATAATTTGATAATTTACCTGCGATAAAAATTCTGTACTTTCTTTACAAAAGTCTATAATTAAAATCCTAAAAGTGAATTTAGACATCACAACATTGTGGAGTACAGTGTGTGCATGTATATATACATATAATAATAATAAAAAATAATAATTTAAATTAACTTTTCTATTTTTGAATTTATTTTAAAATGTAATTTAGTCCTGTGATCACAAAGCTAAATGTTTAGCAGCCATTACTCTATACTTCAGTGTCTATACACACACAACAAACACACGCGTATTCACAAACACACACACAATATATTTATAAATACATACATATATATATATATATATATATATATATATATATATATATATATGAAGAGTTCAGATGCAAAAGCCTCTAAATGCCATTTGAAATTTTCTTCTTTAATGATGAATTTTATCAAACTTGTATATTTAAGTTCAGTAATTTCACTTAATTAACAATTAATAGGTAATTATCATTGCCATTTAAGTGAAATCACTGAACTTAAATATACAAGCTTAATAAAAATTATCATTTTAGAAGAAAATTTCAAATGGCACTTAGAGGCTTTTGCATCTGAACTCTTCATATATATATGTGTGTGTGTGTGTGTGTGTGTGTGTGTGTATATATATATATATAAATGATATATTTGTATATATATTATTTTTTTGTTTGTGTCACTAATAGATTATGTTTTACGGTGTAGCATTAGATCTCCACAGTTTGGACTCAGTTCTCACCAGCATATATCTGTCATCACTAATATGTTTTTGCTTAATTCTTTTGAGCAGCAGTCTCACACAAACTCTGAAGTACGTGTACACCCAGTATGGCATTAAGAGAGGACTGTACCGTGGCCTGTCCCTCAACTACATCCGCTGTATACCGTCACAAGCCGTTGCCTTCACCACTTATGAGTTCATGAAGCAAGTTTTTCATCTAAACTAGAAAAATCAGTGACTTGAAGACTTGAACCCCTAAAGAAACACGTTGAAACGACCCCTGGCAACATGACAGCACCCTTGCCTGCCATTCCAGTCAACAGTCAAGTGAACTCCAGTTCTTACAAAACACCCACACAAACGGCAAACCTGTGGCTTCGCACACCCCAGCAACAGTCACTATGGATACAGAGACAAAAGCTTACTTTTCCATTATGTGTGGATCAGGAACATGTCCCCTAACAACCGACACTGGAAATACCATAGACTTCCGTCTGAAACTTGCCTGTATGAAGCCATCCTATCTCATATTGAACAATATGACATAGCTTATCACTCATATACATTAGGCAAAACACAAATTCACAGAAGATTTGACCTATTGGATGGACGGTTTCAATAGGCATATCACAGTGCTTTTAACTATGACTGATGATGACATAATTTTTTTTATGTCAGAAACCTAAATATGAAAGTTGATTTTTCTTCGCTAAATTTGATTTATATGTAGCTTTTTATTTCAGTCACCTCAAGTCTTATTGGCTGATATTTGTCTCTTTTAGTGATCAATATGACTTACCTCTACATTTCAGTAATATAGCGAATGGGAGACAGTGTGTTTAATGTTGTCTATGCAGTATTCAGTCATGTGCGCATGCCGTCGTTACTGTGGCTCAAACTATATCTGATCGATGCCTTACAGTGCAGTTAAATTCACAATTCACTCCTTTTTGGAAAAGCGCAATCAAGTGAAAATGTGTGTGGTGATAAACATCACAGCTGAAATGTATTTGAATCTGTTAAATTATTGTTCTGATTTGTGATGGGGGAAAAATGGATCCCTTAAATAAAGTAATGACTTTGCCTTTCTATATGCACAGAAGTTTTATCAAATAATTATTTCTTTCATCGGTTATGAATCTATATTTACTACTATTATACAGTAAATATCATATCCACTATATACTATTATTATGTTTGTACGTTTGAAAATGTTTGTATATGTATGTATATATATATATATATATATACAGACACACACACACACACACACACACATATATAAAATGCCTGTTTTTAGTTTTTAAAGGGAACTGAGCACACTCAAACTTGCATCAATTTCCTTCCTGTTTGTTGCCATGTGGTGGCGGTGTTTCAGTAATTCGTGTCCTAAAGGCTCTTTGAATTTGTGCTTTTTGGGTTCATGTGCATTGATTGTTTTGCTGCATGTGTTTCCAAAGAAAAGGAGGAACTCTTATGAATGTACATATGAGTGCATTCAACCGAGATTGATGCTATCGTTTTATGACAGATCGAATACATGTATGAGTAGCGAAGGCATGATTCAATTGTCACATTCAGGTTTATCTTCACCAAGTGTCTTTCTTTTCTGATTCTTGAGAACTGAGCCTTAAGTTCATCTTCTGCTTTGGATAAATCACCTTTATTTATTTATTTATTTATTTGCGTCATTACAATGTATTACATTTGTATAATGAATGGATAGGCCTGCTATTTCAGATTGAAACGGTATGCATTGAACAAAATTAACATTTAAAGAAATAAATACATTTGAATTATTTTACGTGAAAATAAAAGCTTTTCGTCTTGTGCTGGAGTTTCATCCCTTTCCAAACTTGACATCGAGTGAGATTCCTATCGTTCTCTAATTTATGCCTAGACATGCATTTACTATGGCATGGTATACCTCCCACTTAGCATTCGATTTGCATTTCCTCTTTTATTTGTAAGGTACTGTTGTTTGATAGCTTGTCTTATTTGACTGGAAAATATGTCATAAACAAAACACTGCTTATAGCAGATATGTTATCGTCCAAGTAAAAAAAGAAGAGTCCACTGTAATTTTTTCCCCTTCAGTTGGCTGTTTTGGAAAAAAATATTATTCGAGAGCCTTTAAAGCACTTTACAATTATTCACTTTACACTATGCTTTATACTATATTTAAAAGTTTGAGGTCAGTAAGATTTAAAAAAAAAATAATAATAATAATAAAATAAATACTTTATTTAATAAAATCCTGAAAAAAAATCTCAATGTTTACACAAAAATATAAAGCAGCACAACTGTTTTTTAAATTGATAATAATAAATGATTATCGAGTAGGAAATCAGCATTAGAATTTCTGAAGGATCATGTTGATGATGCTGCTGACGGGAATAATACATTTTAAAATATATTAAAGTAGAATGCAGTTATTTAAATTTATATAATATTGTACAATATTTCTGTTTTTACTGTTTTCTCTGATTAAATAAATGTATTAATTTTAGCACAAGAGACTTATTTTAACAACATTAAAAAACATCATACAAACCCCAAACGTTTGAACGATAGGCTAATGTTAATTAAACACACACACACACACACACACACACACACACACACACACACACACACACACAGTATATATATATATATATATATAAACTGTTTTTATTGGCAGATTGTTTACTTTTTTAAAAAAGAAAGAAAGAAATGTATTTCGCAAAACTCCACATTTTGGATGTTTTTTTCAGCAGTGTCAACTGGTAAACCGCAGGACAAAAAAGAGAGAGTCAAATTCAAAGATAAGCCTTTAACACCTAGCCTTTAAGATAAACGTGAACTAAAATATCTGATAAGCTTGCCATATAGGACTTTATGTCTAAACGATTTAGAATAACTAATAAAGTGCATGATGTAGTTCACTCATACATACTTCTTAGTTTGTTGAATACTACCGCAAATCTAACCATGATCACGATCTACATATTTCCGTGTGTGATGAGTGCGATGTCGGTGGCTGGCTAGTGTGAGTCAGTTAAAGAGAGAACGGGGGAGAGAGAGAAGTGGGGAGAGAGAGAGAGAAGGGGGGGGGGGGGGGGGATGAGGAAATGCAGTTTATGTGCGACTCTTAAAAAGTCCATTCGAGTTACTTGCAGAGCTCATCTGCAGCTTGACAATGCCCAACTACACAGTGACTGTCGCCACTGGCACTCAGTGGTTTGCTGGAACAGATGACTACATTTACCTGACCCTGGTGGGATCTGAGGGATGCAGTGAGAGAACCCTCCTGGATAAACCCCTCTATAATGACTTTGAGAGAGGAGCGGTAAGAAACTAATGTATTACCTGCTATAAATATGCGATAATAGTACAATGTTGCATGTAATTAATTATTACATGCAACTACCCTTACGAAAATGAACCATGATTTTACAACAAATAAAACCAGTTTGCTAAATTGCTACACTAACCATAGCTTGACCACCATGGTATTTGTAGTAAACCTGTGGGTAATCCATCTGGTAATCTGCCTAAGAAACATTACGACACTTTTACTATAATAAAACCATGGTTAATTTTACCCTAGCCCTATATTAAATGTAAAATTATTACGCTGTAACAAGAAAAGTATTAATTACATATACTATAGGGTTAGACTAGGTGTTGGTTAGGGTTAGTTGCATTTAATGATGCATAATTTATTTATTACTATGGTAACTACATGTAACATATTTAACAAAAACAATGTAAAATAAAGTGTTACCAAATATAGTGTAGCCCTATGCAAAGGTTATGTATATATATTAGACATTTGAGATCCTTTTAAAGAGTTTGTTCCATTGTATCTGAATTATATTTAATGTATTGTGCAATTAAAAAATTACATGGCAGAAATGAATAGCCTTTCTCTTTGTGAATTAAATGTGCAAACCTTTATAAGATTTTTTTTTTTTACAGCTGGTATTCTTTCACGACTGTTGATTAATTTAATTCAAAGCATATATAGACCACAAGTATTCTGATTAATAAGCGCTTGGAAAAAGGGTGGATCAAAAATGGAAATTGCTATTTTAGATCAAATTTTGGGAATGTTTTGTCTTATGGCTTCATGACTAATCAAAAACCATCAAAACCTCTTCATAACATCACAACATCTTTATTGTCACAGTTAAAGTTCACAATTGCATGTGTCATTTAAAAACTTATATGTACTGTAAGACTGTCTTTTTAAAACTATGCATGTCTTTTTTGAGCAACTGTTTTTAAATAACATCTTACATATGGTGTAATTCAAGGTGGACTCATATGACATCAGTGTCGGAGAGGACCTGGGTGAACTTGAGCTGTTGAAAATCGAAAAGAAGAAATACTGGGTGCACGATGACTGGTACTGCAAATATGTCACGGTGAAGACACCCTATGGAGATTACGTTGAGTTTCCCTGCTTTCGCTGGTTAGTTGATGACAAGGAGGTGGTCCTCCGAGATGGCAAGGGTAGGTTCTGATTGTCTGTGCACATTTTTTTCTGTAACAGAGCGCTAAACTTTACCATAATATAATGCTTCAATGTTTTCTGTGCTTCAGCTCGATTGCCACAGCATGACAAGACCGGATTGGCGAAACAACACAGGCACAAAGAACTAGAACAGAGACAGAAGACATACAGGTTTGGTGCAACTTTTAGAAAGAGGTTAACAACTATATTAGTTCTGGTCCCCAGGAGAAATGCTCTTTCCTCATAAATGCACATGTGGTTAAGTCTACTATTTCAACAGACCATTCGTTTTCCTCTTCTAACAGCGCTTGCCTCATATTCATTGGCTTTATTCAGTCACAGAACTTTCATGCACTGCATTTTGTTTCAGAGTTGGAGGGGAAATCAAAACATCAAACAATGACTGAAAACGTGTTAGTTGGAGTGATCAGTGGAATTTATTTATTCTTATTTATTCTAATAAATTATGGTCAGAACAGTGTATTCAGAACAACTAGATGATACAGTCAGGAATTCAAATTATTCAAAATAATATTTGTGAGATATATATATATATATATATATATATATATATATATATACACTCTCAGGAAAAAAGGTCCAAAAGTTGTCACTGGGGCTGTACCTTTTCAAAAGGTATGTTTTGTATCTAAAGGGTGCATATTGGTACCTTAATGTTACTTATTAGCACCTAACTGTCCATATTAGCTCCTAAAATGTACACATTAGCAAATAAATGTCCATATTAGCACCTAAATGTGCATGTCGACACCTAAAATGTACATATTAGCACCTAAAATGTACATATTAGCAAATAAATGTCCATATTAGCAACCTAAAATGAATATATTAGCACCTAAAATGTACATATTATCAAATAAATGTCCATATTAGCACCTAAATGTACATATTGGCTCCTAGAATGTACATATTATCACCTAAAATGTACATATTAGCACCTAAATGCATATTGGCACCAAAATATATTAGCACCTTAAATGTACATATTAGCAAATAAATGTCCATATTAGCACCTAAATGTACATTAGCACCTAAAATGGACAAAAGTTTACCTTTTGAAAAGGTACAGCCCCAGTGACAGATTTTGTACCTTTTTTTCTGAGAGTGTAGTATTATATATATATATATATATACAGTATGTGTGTTGCATGTTGTATAGCCTACTATAACACTTTTTTACACTGTTTAATCTGATATTAATTGTGTGTATTTCAAAGTTCGTACTCTGCACTCTTAAAAGGTTCTTTATTTGCATCGATGATTCCATGAAGACCTTTTAACATTCGGCCTTTCCATTGCACAAAAGCTTCTTTATAGTGGAAAAAGGTTCTTTAGATTATTGATATGTTCTTCACACTTTTAAGAACTGTTTATTAATAAGTTCTTCTTTGGGGAACTGTAAATGTATCTTCTGGCATCAATTTAAAAAAAACAAAAACTGTTGGAACCTTTTATTTTTAAGAGTGTACCATCATAATTCCAGGGTTGTTCTTACACGTAACCTATTTAAAGGGGTCCTATTATGTTGTTCAACTTTAGTTAGAGTGTAATATTGCTGTTTGAGCATAAAAAATATACGCAAGGTTACAACGCTCTAAGTCCACACCAAAGGGAGATATTTTATTAAACAGAATCCCCCTTTCAAGAACTACAACTCGATAAAGTCATAAGGTTACTCATTTAAATAATTCCCACCCACGAAATATGCAAAAAAGGGGGACGACGAGGCATTAGAGAAGACTGTTGTGGCTATGTCAAAAAAATCAAAGAGACGCTGATTTTTTTTAGCCTGACAAACTCAGAATGGTTTAAATTTATTTTAAACACTGTTCCTGAACATTAACATCTTCGCTGCACATTTTATGGCGAACAGCTTGTTTGCTAACTTCTGTAAGCTCTCGCTTTTGTGAGACGGTTGACCGCTCCTTAGGAAAACTACCATGGTTTAGTGATCGTTATCTTAGTTTTCCGACAAATAGCACAATTAAATGGTATATAACATCGTATCTATAATGTATACGAAAATCACATAAAAAAATACCACTCTGAAACATTCTGAGAAGTCCGTTCTTGCAAAGTCTGTATGAAAATCTCAGGGTCTGGATCGGGCTGGAATTGGTTTGAAATTGATTCATATTTAATATTAATATCATCATTAATATTTATATTAGAACAGAACTTGCAGTTATGGAGAGGTCAGCTAACCAATCACAGCACATTTCGTATTTCGGAAGGAGGGGCTTTTTCAAAATCAGTGTGTTTGAGCCAGACTGGGGAGAG